ATGTAGTGTGTTAATAGTTGTTTCAATTTGAAATGAATTTTGCACTCGATATTCCCTGTTACACCATGATGAATTTAAGAATCCCAGGATGATTAGAAAATGGTAGAATTATTAAACTTTTAAAGCTTATTAAGAATTGGTTGTTGACATCTGATCTTGTTGAGGTCCATTGCAGTGAATGTGTATAATTTCTTACCCCATTTTGTTTTTGGTTGTAAGGTGATCAAGTGACCTTTCCACTAATTTTGTTGTTCTATCTTCATTCTGGTATATATGCAGGTTAAATCGAGAATGCTGGGAGATTCTAGTTACAAAAGCACTCTTGAATGTTTTATCAAAACATTAAAGAATAATGTAAGTTACTTTCCACTGATACCATTTTGTTCTCGTAAGATCATATACCATCATTTTGCTTTAGCCACAAGTTACAATCATTAACTGTGTGGATCCTTTGTCATTTCATAGCTATGGTGAATAAAATTCTTTGCAGCATTTGATCACATCTAAGTAGTTGTAAGCAGTGGGTATAATCCTTGAGATTTTTTAAGGGGATTGGTTGCAACTGCAAATGCAGCGGAAGTTGTGGAAATAAAGGTCCCTATCTCTCTTCATTCTGCTTACCTGGATGGAGTCAAACAATTTTTTAGGGAGAAGTAAACCGAGAATGTTATTCAAATATATGAACCGAGCTTTTAGCAATTACCAAATCTTCTGTAGGATTGAATGCTGTTTCCATGCAATTCTCTTCAAATTTTATATGAACTGAGCTTGGACGTGCGACTCTTTTCAAATTTAGAGGGATTCAAGCCTCAAACCAATCATTATAAATTAAACATAACTTAGCCCTTGATCAAGACCAGATGTGTTATAATGGTGGCTATTGTAGTTGTATCAAAGTTCACGCAATTGATGATGCATGAACCTTTGTTGATTGTTTACAGGCAAAAACTTAATTAAAATCTGTCTGTTTAATGGAAATTGATTAGTGTCTTTGAATAAACTTCTTTATAAATAATTATAAGAGAATACATGAAGGAAAAATGAAAGATGTTTTTTTATGAACCAAAATTAGTTTATGCATCAACTAATTTATAGAAATTTTTGCATACTAATTTTTAGGCTTTGCATAAGTTAATTATAACTAATGAAAAAAATATTCTTCTTTAATATTTTTTCTTTTATAAGTGTTTGAAAAAGTTTATCTAAACATGCTCATTTTAAAAACATGCCATTTGAAAATGAATACAATTTCTACCCTCAACTACAAGTGGTCAATAACAAGTCCACTGGAACATATTTGTCCCGGCATGACTAAATGTTAGTAAATACTCTATCACATTTACATATTAAAAGACATCATATTCATATTTGTTATCTGTCATTGTTTCATGAACGTTGGCAATAATAGTTGCTTTCAAATCAACCCTTGGCTCTTCTTGAAAACGATTCCACTAAAATAAGTAATGTCTCAAAAATAGGTTTGATATTGATAATATTATTATTTTTACTTTAATTATTATAAATTAGGAAAAAAAATTATTTTATAATGAATATTGTATAAATAGCGATTATTTTGTCATTTAGAAATATTACACGCAGCATTCCAAATCAGGTATAAACCTTTCTAAAGTGGATAAGCATCTACTATGTGTTTTCATTTTGTTACTGTTAACAATCTTTAAATTGTACTGTGTGCAAGCGGATAAGTAGTATATTTGCTTGAAACTTTAAACAAAGACTGCTAGTCCAACTTAAAATACCACACTAACAAGGAACAAACACGAAAAAATGAGAAAGAATACTTCTAATTTAATTTTGAAATTTATATCATGATTATCATAAATTGTACCACTCACTAAAATATGAACTTTGAAAATTTAAACCTTATTTATAAACACAAATAGTGTGCGTGCTTACTGTAATATTTTTACATTACCATTTAATCAATGATAAATTTGTTAACTTTTATCATAATTATATTAAAAAAGAAATTACTATGGTACCTTTCTAAATTAAGATGATTTTGTATAGTCAATTTTTAAAACCAATAAAAATAATTTAAAGTGTATTCTTTTTTGTTCTTTTCACTTTAACTTCTTCTTTTCCCTATACTAAGTGATGTATTATTGCAACATATTCAACTATGAGAGCATTGTTCAGTACATTAATGCATTCCTCAGTTGAAGTGGGATGGACACGTTCCATATATAAGAGATTCGGTCTCCATTCTGCGAACACAAACAAAATATGTAGAAACTTTTATATCTGTTTTAGGAATCAGTGGTAAAGTACGGATATTTGTCAAGACATAAATCAAAACATTGTTTAATATATACTTACTTTTTTGCTACCATAAAATTGTATAATGTTTGTCTAGCTGGTTAGAAGTTGTGTCTCCTAAAAAGGGAAAAAGAAAAAAAGAAGAAAGAAATATAAGCAGAATATGGCATTTGACTAGCATGAAAAGAAAAAATCATGATCATGAATTAATTATACTTGGGCTGTTATAGTGGAGTTTCACCCCTGGAAATGAATTTGATTTCCATAATATTTGTGGTTTAATAGTTCAATTAAATATATATATGGGGAATGCTAATATACTCCCACTAAAAATAGGTGGGAGTATGTTAGCAACCTATACCAAATTTTTAGGACAAAAAAATCACTCATTTCTTTTGATTTGGTTAATTTGTATAAATGATATAATAGTAATTTAATTTAATTTTAAATGAAAAATAAAATATTTTCTCTCTCTTATTAATTTCTTTCACTGAGTCATTTCTCTCTCCTATTAAATTCCTTCTTAACCCATTTCTCTTTCTTATTAAATTCTTTCTCTAACTTATTTATCTCTCTCCTATTAAATTCTTTCTTTAACTCATTTCTCTCTCATATCTCATGATGTCTCCCCCTCTCTTTCTCTGAACAAATAAAAATTAATTAATAGAAAAAAGAAATAACTTAGTAAATAATTATAAATAAAAGTACTTCAACGGAAATCTCAACAAGGAGTTGACCACTTTGCAAATGCTTGCTCAATTTTGTGAGTTCTCCTAATCCTTATAAATTTGGTTTTTCTACTTCAAAAATGTTATTTTTAATTAGGAATGAAAATAAGTATCACAGTTTCACATGGACATATGATACTTTCAAAAGATTTCGACAAAAATATTTTAAAAAATAAGGACCAAAACTTTAATTAAAAAAGTCAATTTTAAATCATTTAAATAGTCTTTTAAACTTAACAGAGTAACTTATTTAAATAATTTAAATAAATATTTATTTTTGTTAAGCATGGTGATTTATAAAAAAAAAAAAGTAAAACTTATAAATTTAATAAAAAGTCAATTTATGTATATTTATAAGTCTTGTTGCAAAATAAAAAAGACTTATTACAAAATATACTTTTAAATAAGTTATCTATTATCATTATGAATGCATGTTAGATTAAGGGTTTAGAATTTAGAATTTATTAAAAAGTCAAATCATGTCATAATTTAAGTCCTAATGTAAAAAGGATTTTTTTTATTACAAAATATATTTTTAAATAAGTTATCTATTATCATTATGAATATTAAATTAAGAGTCGGTTTTCTTAAACTTAAAAAATATTTTTAAATAAATAACTCTTTAAAAAGTAGGTAAAAATTGTTTATTAATGAAAAAAAGTAAAAAGTGCTTATTTTATTAAAATATATATTTTTATAGAAAAAAATTTAAATGACCGAGCCCTAAATTTTAAAAACATGCTTATATTCACATAAATAAGTTAAATTCAATAAGGATAAAATCTTAACATATCTGATAATATAAATTGCAGAAAGAAAGGAAAAAAAAAAAACGCAAAGTAAAAACCTATAGATTTGAATGGATGTGATTAAAAGAAATATGATGTTTAAGATCATTTTAATTATAATATGAATTAATAGTTAATTGACTACAGACTTTTAATATTTTTGTATATTATAATTATGACACTCATTTTATTCCCAACAAATAATATAAATATTTACGAAAATTTCAATTAAAATGACAGGTAAAATAGGCTCATATAAGTATTATTTTTAACATTCAACCAATTTGAAACAAAATTATAAAATATAGACCTTATAATAGCTTATAAATAAAAAAATATATATATTTAAATAATATATAAATTTATAGAGCATTGCTACAGCGTGCAAAACAAAGGCCGAAATTTCATCCAAATTTTTAAAAAATAATTTTTTTAAAAATTTATTATAGAATAATTTTTTTTAATAAATTTATTATAAAATAATAATTTTTTTAAAATTCGGTCGAAATTTCAGTCTTCGTATTGGAGAATACAACATTTTTTAAATTTATAATCTAATTTCATTGTCTCAATGTCACACTATCACAATAATTCATAACTTCAACTTTTGCGCTTATGCTATCCTTTTTCGTGCTACCTCCGGAGAAGCGACCAAGATTGTTATGGCCAATCCGCAACATCTATGAAGCCCGTCACCCTTTGCCAAAGGAAAAAAATAAAGAAAAAAAAAACAAACAAGAGCTTCAATTAGTTAGAATAAACTAAAATACAAGGTTGTGCTCAAGAGGTCTGGCTGTTTTTTTATATAAGATGGGAAGTTTGTTTCTTATTTTAAGACAGTAGTTTGTTGTGCATGTGATTCGTTTTCATATTATGTACACCTTTTATTCTTTTCACATTTACATCTTTCCTCGATTGACCAACTTGTGCATGCAATGTAATAAATGGTGAATGGCAACAAACTCTATATCTTTGAATGTAAACCGCGTATGTATAGCAACATGTTCTTTTAATTTAAGAAGTAACGTAAAATACATAATTAATTACACTAATTATTTATCATAATTTTTAAGCTATAATCCTATAATTAAATTAAGGTTTAACATGCATGTAGTGCAGGTTTTGCCAATGGTGTATTCGTTGACCTGCGTGCTTTACGGATCCAAAATATATGGGAGATTAAGTTGATAAAGCATCACAACCAGCACAAAGGAATTTGCCAAAAAGAGAAGAAGGAAGGCACGAGACTGAGATTCAGACGCAATGACTTCGGCAGCTGCAGATAACAACATTCCCAAGCCTGAGAGTAAGTTTAACAATCTTGCTTTGTATATTTGATTTAAGTACTATTGCAATAATTAATCCCTGTAGTTCTGCTGTTATATTTTCTCAAACACAACGTCTTTAAACTTTTTTTTTTTAGGAAAAAAAAAACTGAGTACATGGTTTCGCATTTCTTTTTCTCTATTTTCTGTTTATTTCTTACGATTTTAAGTTTATAAAGTGCCTATCATAGTAAGAAATCTATGCACCTAAAATTATAGCAATGTACAACAAGAGATGAAGATCGATCTAAACTCAAACTTCACTCTCGGTTCTGCACTGCTTGATTCACAAGTACCTTTTAATTTCACACCTTTTAGCTACTCCTTGCAAATGTTTAGTCGAATAAATAAATATTTTAAGTTTGGATTATTCTTTAAGTTTTAATACTTGAATAATAGTTTAAATGAGTTCAATTATAATTAATATCAACTAATTATAATTAATATGATTTTTTAAAATAATTATCTCAAAACTTAATAAACTTACCATACACCGTAGTTTGTGATTGATGACCTATATATCAATGCACAAATGACTTTTTTTATTAAAAAAAATTATAATATTAAATTAAAATTAGACATGTTACAAGTTCTTATACTTAAAAATTTATAATAAATATATCATAATATATTCGTATTTAAGTTTCAAAGGTACACACTTTGTAAATATACAACAATGTCCAATGATATTATAATTAATGAGTTCACGTTTTGAATTCAAAAATGACAGGTCGATATTTTAAAATTAATTATTCATTTTTCAAATTAAAATGACATTATATTAAACATTTTCCATTAACATGTCGTAATGCCGTTCAAACTTCAAAGTGTGTGAGTTTTTGATTTTTAAATGTAATTTTTAAGACAAAACGTATTCAACTAAAATGAAACTGAAATTATTATATTTTAATTAAGTTTAAAGTATATTTTACAGAATATTTTAGGACCAATGGTCGATTTTGTTAACACGACTAGTCACTTATTAAATCACGTGAATCGATATATAATGTAAATTTAAAGATATATTATATAAATATTTTAGTCATATATATTACACACGTTGGTTGAGTGATAGTTAATTTTCAAGCATCCATTTACATGTGTTGAATTCAGTAATGCCAGAATATACATATCCTACAAAGGGATATGTTATATGGATGTAGATCGAGGAATGCATGGTGCAGTATGCAAAGTGCACAATGGGGCAAGATAAAGAGTTTTAATAAATAAGTTAAAAATTAAAACTGATAATTGATTGTAATTTTTTTAAAACTGAAAATCACCCCAAACTACTTTTAATTTTTAATCATTTCTTCAATGCAATGCCAGTTTCTCGTGATTTCTTTATATCAAACAATATATTGATTAATGGCTTTTTCAATCCAACTCGCCGATTTAATTTGATTTTCAAAATATTGGTGACAATTAGCAGTTTTGGAAATATTCTATAAAAGATTATACATTTATTTATTATTTAATATTATTAGCTAAATTACATTTATTTCTTAAATTTAGACTAATTTAATCATTTTTAAACAATAATAGTTGTTTTCAATTTTGAGACTTGATTTTGAATTCTTTTTATACTGATTTAAGTCTTTAAATTTGTCTTATTAAACTCATTTATATAAAAATTATTGAATGAATTAAAATTCGAATAAAAGGTGTAACTATAAGTTGGTGAAAAATACAAAAAATAAATTCAAAAGGAAATTGAAAATTTTAAAAATATAATTTTATACTATTTTATAATTGGTTATGAAACATTTTTCACACAATTTTTATTATATTTATAATCTTTGGATTCAAACATCAATTGAATTTCATAAATTTTTTATAACTAAATTTAGTGTTATAAGTTTTATGTCATAATTTATTAAAAATTGACTCAAAATTATATTGTAAAACTAAAAATTATTATTATTTTAAAAGAATCCAATTGATCCAACATAAAAGATGGGTAATGAAAATAAACATTTTAACTGGTAATGGACTAAAATAAATCTAAAAAAATAAGATAAAAAACTGAAAATGTAATTTAATCCAATATTATATTAACTTCTGTAATTTTTTATTTACTTAAATACTAAAATTATATTATTAATACATAATTATAACTTTAAATTGAGAATATTGCTCGCTGTATTCCGTTGGTGAAGCTTTGAATTTTGATCCTTTCCTTAAGGGGTACTCTGGTCCATTCCTCTGAGCATGGATGGGCGCAAATAAACCTTATTTTCTTCATGAAAATACAGCTTGCTTTTTTATTAAAATTATTACTAATTACTAATATTTTGAACATGTATATTTCACATGTTAAACATTTTTAATATATAACTAAAACTTATAATAAGTTATATATACAAATAAGTAATATGATTAAACTTATAAAATATATTTAAAATTTATATAAATATACGAATTAACCAAATAAAAAAAATGAGTAGTTTTTTTGTCCTAAAGTTTTGGTGTAG